AAATTTGTACATTTTGTAAATACTTACACTTCATAGAGTATTTCTAAAGTTAATGGATGTGCTAGCAGTTGAATTTTTCAAAGTGCTCTTAGAGATAACATGTTTTCAAGAACCAAGAAAGGGGAAGTTACAAAATAAATAAATAAATAAAATGAAGGACTATTCGGCGTTTGAGTCTCCAAAATTCCTACAGAGGGTGCTGTTGCCCGTTCAATGAAGGAGGGAATTCTCCCTAGGAGAGATTTGCCTGAAATAGCTGGATTTTTGTTGTTTTTTTTTACAAAAATGCTACATCGCAGAATTAACAAGGGTTTCTATTAACAGTATACATTTCTTCGGGTAGTTATCATGTCTGTATGTACGTGTGCAAATGTTTTAAGTTTGTTTTATTCTTAATAAAACCGGACTTATTTTAGTGTTCTGTTAAAAAAAAACCTTAAAAAGATATTTTTAACAAATATCAAGTACATTCCTACTTTCAAAAATACCTAATATTAGGATAAAATAAAACACAAATGAAAATTTGAAATCTACATAATGAAACTACAAAATATTCAGACTAGCACAGTATATTACCTATTTAAATAGTTTCATATGTAAAACTATGCCTTCAGTTTGATTTTGGCTTTATTAAACCTTTGAGTTTATTTCAGATTAGTCAATGTTATGTCCAAAATTGATTAAAAACATTAACATATTTAGAGAAAAACTAAGTTTTTCCAAATGCTTTTTGGTTTTGCTTGAAGTTATCTAAAATTAAGAACTAGCAGTTTTGATGATTTAAAGGGAGATGGGAATTATTTTTGTTATTAAGTTTGGTTCTTGAGAATTTTAATATCCAAATCTATAATACCTATCTTTCAAAGTATCAACCAAAGGCTGATTTTAGTTCCAGAGGGGGTGTGGGACCCACGTTAAGTCTTCCACACAATGACATCAAGAGGAATGATTTCCTGTCTCCTAACCAACTCTGGTGGAAAAAGGAGGACATGTCTGTTGACACTGGAAGACTAGCCTGGTTTTGTGGTTTAAGATGATAATTTTTTTTAAGGAGGAAGAGGGGGAGGAAAGAAGGGGAAGGGGAAGGAAGGGTTGAATAAAAGGGGAAGAGAGGAAGAGAAAGAAGGTGGAAGGGGGAAGAAACATGAGGGAGGGAACAAGGAAGAAGGGGAAAATAAATCCAACAGGGAATAGAGAAAGGACGCGTTTCTCAAGTTCTATCTGAAACACCCTTCGTTTCCTTCATGTGGCTTACGGTAAATTAATAACGATGATAACAACAGCAACAGCAATAATAGATTTGCAGAACTGCTCGTTGTGCAAGGTAGGAGTCCTCAGCTTGTCCCACGAAATCGCTGTCTTCCTAGGCTAAAAGGAGCCCTCTGCTTGCGGAGCCTCTGACCCTGCCGGAGCCCTGAAGTGCACAGGAGTCCTGGGTTTAAAGACAATGCCCTTTACAGATTCACTCACATCAGCTTTAATAACTTCCACCCCAAATTACCCCAACCCTCCTCATTCCCTTCTGTCATTTATTTTCTGCCCCAGGGGCCAAGATCTTCTTCAATGCCTCCCTCCTAGCTCCAGGGAACCTTCCGCACCCAGAAAGAGAGTAGGAAAACAGCAGAGGGGATGAGAAGGTGGGAACGAGGGAGAGCTAGTGAATATAGAAATTCTGGTGAAATTATTTTTAAAAAATGTGTCTTAGAGGACACCCATTTGAGGCTAGTTTTGCTTTATTATTGCTATTATTTATGTTTAATATAATAAACCAAACTACACACATCATATATTCATTTACCCCCAAACCAACCTGACCACACAAAATTAACTCTTGTACATTTCCCACCATCTCTTTAAAGAGTATAAAAGCTTAAACCTTGTTTAAGATTCCGCTGTCCATTTTTAAATCTATCAGGTTAAAATCACGAATTACAGACAACATAAACAAATGTAAAACATCCTGCATCTCTGTTAAAAGTCTCAAAATTAACATTGTGGGCTTTGTTGTTTCCAACATGTGAAGAAAAAAAAAAGCTTGATAAAATGGAGAATGCAGTCAAACAGAAAGACACATAGGATCTGCTGAAAATACAAAACCATTCCAAAGCAAGAAGCAACATAGACCCCAGGGTCCACAGGATACTCAAGTTACCAAATGTGTTTAGGCAAAATGAACAAAAATATCAGAAATCATTGTGGTAAATAGTTTTTGTTGCTCTACAATGATACTGTGGCTTTTAATATTTGTACAGCTATAATACGGAAAAATAGCTCTTAAAATCAAGGAATCTAGATTTTTTAAAAAATACTCTTCTGAACACAGAGGAATAGGAAATTTGTGTTTTAAGATCTCCAATAATGGTACCCTTAAAAAAAACTGTGTAGAAAATAAGGGGGCTGATGTCCCCAGTCTCTCGTTATCAATTGTTAAAAGACTTTAGTTGGTAGTTTCAATGATTCACCATTTTCAAATTAGAGATTTAAAAAAGAAAAACAACTATCTTCCCTTCAAATGCCATTCAGTCTGTGAATTCTGTGACCCAGGGGTGTTTATGTAGTTAAATGTAGATATCTGCGTGTAAATTCGTGTTTATGATTTTTATAATACATATATGTGCGTGTGTATGTGTGTATGTGTGTATGTGTGTGTGTGTATGTGTGTGTGCGCGCGCGTTGTATCTAAGTCCTGTGTGCAATAATGTTTTTCTGTCTGCTGAGGCTTACTTCTCCAGCCTATTGTTTGAGACAACAGATATAAGTTGCGATGGGAGAGGAGCGTCGGATTTGGTGTGTATCCCCCATTTCCAATTATAGATGGATCATTACAGACAGCGGAGTCCTGAGAAGCCAGACATCTGCTCCTCACATGAATGCACTCACCTCCTAGAGACCAGGCTGCCATCATGCTCTGGAAACTCGTGGAGAATGTCAAGTACGAAGACATCTATGAGGTGAGTGGACACCCCCAGATGCATTTTAGAGCTTTGTACATAGAAAACTGGAGCTTCTTGACACCCCAGTTGACAGATTTTTAAGCTATTTACTCGTAGATTTCCGGTCGGGTTTCTGAGGTTTCTTTAAGTTTTCCTAGGCTGGCTCTAGGAGACTTTGCTCTCCTGAAAGGGGATTTCAGAGGCTGGAACCTGGCAACTTTAATTTAGGAGCTATTTTTCTTTTCTTCTTTTCTTTCTCTACGGGCTCTCTCCTCCCCCCTTGTAGGCTCTGATGGGGAACGTGGAGCCACTGAATTTAGGCAGACAGGCAGAGAAAAACATTCTCCCCTCAGTTTGAGTTCGGGAGAGAATGGGATTTTCAAGCTTCAGTTCAACCCGGGCTTTGGATTTTTTTTTTACTTTTAATAAATTTTCTGAAATCGGTAACTAACGGATCCAGGTAGAGGGTAAACATCTACGGCGAGAGAAGGAAAAGAACGGGTGTGTGAACAGATCGAGTACAGTATGGGGAGAGGGCACGATTTCTTATGTTTTTGTTTGTGTGTGTGTGTGTTTTGCTTCTTTGCGGGTCAGCGGGTCCAAGCAAAAATAGCAACCGCCAGCGTGTGGGCATTTTTAACGAAGTCTGCCCACACTTCGTATGCCCGGCTACCGGTGCCCAGGAGAGCGCTTCTCTCTCGGGCTTCGACCTCCGCCTCCCCGGACTCCGCCGTTCGCTTCCGGAGTCCGCGTCGAGCGAGGTTGCGGCATTGCCGGGTGTCCCGGCCGCTCGCGGGCGGGCAGGCGAGGCGAGGAGGCCCGGGCCGGGGACTGAGGTGGGAGTCCGCACCAAAGTCCCAGAACTGGGGAGACCCCCTGTTGAGCTCAAGCGAAAACCGAAGCAAGGCTCAAAGGGGACGTCCAGAAAAGCTTCGAGATCCGAAAAAGGAAAGAAAGCGAAAGGGAGCTAGCAGCGAAGCGGGGCGGCAGAAGCGAGAGGGCACCAGGAAAAGTTGGAGAGCAGAGCAGAAGTCTGGGGCGGTGAGACCTGAGCCACGGGCACCGGCAGCACTGGGCTGGACCACAGGACCGAGGTGGGCAGCTCAGGTTCGCGATGGGTCGGGAAAGAAACCGGAGCCCTGAGCCGCCAGCCCTGTGGGAACCAGGGGCTACAGCTCGGCAGTGGCTCGCCTTGCCCTACTAAGGGGAGGCTGGAGGCAGCTTCTTCCCAAACCCGCTGGTCCGGTCCGCCCGAGTGACCACGACTCCTTGGGGCACCCGACAAGAGCGCCTCGAGCCAGTGCCCGGTGTGCCCCAGCCCCACCATTCCGAAGACCTCATTTGGAGGTAATGAGAAAATAAGAAAGGAGGAGAAAAGAGCTCAAAGGAAAGGAAGTTCAGAATAAAATAAGAGGAAAGGAGAGAGGGAGGAAGGGAGGAAGGGAGGGAGGGAAGGAGGGAGGGAGAGAGAGAGAGAGAGAGAGAGAGAGAGAGAGAGAGAGAGAGAGAGAGAGAGAGAGCTATTTCTCGGGGTGACTCCGGGTTTCGTCCCCATCTTTGTGGATGTGTACTGACTGTACTGCAGGACCGTGCCTGTCCTGCCTGGCGGGGTTTGTGAGGTTTGTTTCGCTCTGGCCTCCCTTCCTTTCCTAACAGGCGGGATTATGTTCAAGTCCAGGGCGATAAACTCTCCTAAAGAACACATCACCCATAGAAAACGGGACTCTGGAGGAGCTGGGGCTGCGGTGGAAATAGCTCTGGGTACACGTAGAGGGATTAAAGTAATCAGAGGGATGCTGGTTCTTTGCTTTATGAAAAATAAACGACTAAATGGGAAGGGGGGAAAGGGGAAGGAGTGGGGTAGAGTAAGAGTGGGAAGGAAGACACCAGAAAGGGGAGGAGAGGAGAGGGCGTGAGGGAGAGTAAAGGAGGGGTGAGAGAAGGACGAGATGAGGGGGTAGGAGAGGGGGGATAAGAGAGGAGACTGCGGGGGGTGGGGGAGAGTGAATTACTCCGGGCTGCCTAAATTTTCAGCTGAAAAGCCAGGAGAACTCGCACACAGCGTGGTGGAAGGAGCGAGTCTACTTCAGTCTGGGCTACGGTTGAAGTTTAACAGAAATGGCAGTTAAGCCAGTTGAACGGGTTCCTGAAACATCCCAAAAGATTTTCTGTTGCCCCTGGCTTTGCCTGAAAAGGATAGCTTTAGTGTACTTGAAGACCGAGTTCATCTATTTTAAACCTCAGTAAAAATGGCAGGCTGTAAGCACTAAAGAGGAAAAGGCAGCACTATGTTAAAAAACAAAACAGATAGATAGATAGATCTTCTGCATGCAAAAAAAAAAAGTCTGTATGTGTAGCGCCCAGTAAACAAGCAGGCCCACCCATTTATTTTTCTCTCCCCTCCAGAGGAACAGGCAGTGTCTCTCTAGTTTGGGTTTTAATCTGTACACCAAGCATTCCGGGCTACAACCTGCTCCCTGTTGGGAAAGTCTCCCTCCATGTGCAAGAACACCTACATTACCTGGGACCCCCCCCCAGCACTGCTCCCCCACACTGCCGAATCCACAGAGCAGAGGCTGCCTGGCGAGAGCGAGAGCGTCCCAGCTCAGTTAATTGAAGTTCTGCCTCTTTCCTGCTAAACTTTTCCCCCAGTCTGCCTCCGCCAGCCCCCTGGTCTGATTACATCTAGTAATTCTCCACTGAATGAACGTCATTTACAATAGTGGAGGAGCTCTGAGCTCGCTGCTGCTTCACGCTCCATTTGTCCTCCATTCTCCCTTTAAAGTACTCGTGTAATATTAATAGTCATGAATATCAATTATTATGAGGCGGTGTAGGCAAGCGGAGGGAGGAAGGGGCGCCCGAGCAGTCTGAGCCCAGCTTCGGGTGGAAGAGGACTGTTTCTGGGGCCCCAAAGAACCGGCAGAAGAAAAAGAGGCCAAAAAAAAAAAAAAAAAAAAAAGACGGTGAGAGACAGATGATCAGTGCTGCTTGTCTGTGACAGGCACCTCCAATCTTCTTGGAGGGGGATTTTTCTTTTTCTTTTTTTGATGGCTTGTGCTGGGAATATCTCAAGCTCGGCTCCTGTGTCCAGCTTGCTTCTCTGCTGGACTTTTTGATTTTTGAAAATTCATTGTTTGATTTTGAGCAGTAACCAGGCTTTTTTTTCCAGATGTTAGTCCACACCTATTCATCCATGGTGAGTTCGGATTCCCGTTGTACCAGAAGTGCATGCCTTCTCCTCTCTCGGTCTCTCCGTCTCTGCATCTCCCTGTGTGTCTCCCTCTGTCTCTCTGTCTTCCTTTGAGTGCCTTTGGCTTGGTAATTTAGCACCATAATTGGACGAGGCTGCAGCTGCTTCTCTCTGCATTGTGTGTTCCCTGTCTGAGCTCCCTGAGAGTCAGCTGGGAGGGGGTGAAGCTGAAGCAAAAAAACTTTTTTATTTGTCAATGCAGTTTGGAAATTTAGGAGGCTGTTTCTACAGAAAGAACCAGGGGGACTTTTGCCACTTGCAGTTTCCACAAAGGATGGGGAGAAACTTAGTGTCCTGCACTCCCTCCTTCTTTCATTTGACTTACACACCGGAGAGGAGGGGGAAAAAAGATGTGGGGGTTATCTCTTCACCTCCCAACTTCAGTTCCTTATTTTAACACCCTGAGTATAATAGCCTGTGATATGGAAAGCAAGCTCAGAAATAACTCCTGCAAACCACAACTCAATTTAACATGGGCTTAGGGTGTGATTGCAGAGGAGATCCGTTTCAATCAAACACTAAGTTATTTAATTCCTCTTGGGGAGGGAGGGGTGGCTGGAAGCTCGGATCAGGCAGATGCCTCCCTGCTCTGGGAATCTCCTTGCTTGTGTGAGCCCCGGGGCCAGCCAGCTACCTGCCAGTGAAGGCAGAAGTGGGTTTTCTTTTTCTTTCTTTCTTTTTTTTCTTTCAACCAGAGCAGTAGCAGCTATTAGAAAGGTTCGCTCCGTGTACTTTGGATCTCTTGAAGAGGTATGGGCAAGAAACACTTAAAAGAGCAAACACCACCCTTGAGTCCTACATTCTTAAATCAAAGCTTTGAGCTATCTCTATCCACACAGTTCCTTCTCCTCTCCCTTTTGCCTGCTTTGCACTCTCAAAATATGACTTTTAGGCCGGGTAGTGGGTGAGTTTCTTATTTCTGTTGTAGTTAAGTCCCCTGAAGCTTCCCGGGTGGGATTGCTGACATTTTACCATGTGGTCCTGAGTCAGCTTGGGGTCTGAGGTTTAGCCTCTTGCTTCTCTTATCGCCGGGAAAGTTGTACAGAAGCCGATCTCTCTCTCTCTCTCTCTCTCTCTCTCTCTCTCTCTCTCTCTCTCTCTCTCTCTCTCTCTCTCTCTCTCTCTCTCTCTCTCTCTCTCTCTCTCTGTCCATCCCTCCCTCCTTCTCCTGCTCTCCCTTCCACTCCCAGGACCGGCACGATGGCGTCCCAAGCCATAGCTCGAGACTCTCTCAACTGGGCTCTGTGTCCCAAGGACCCTACTCGAGTGCCCCGCCGTTGTCCCACACACCATCATCGGACTTCCAGCCACCCTACTTCCCGCCCCCCTATCAGCCGCTACCCTACCACCAGAGTCAAGACCCCTACTCTCACGTCAACGACCCCTATTCCCTGAACCCTCTGCATCAGCCCCAGCAGCACCCCTGGGGTCAACGACAGCGCCAAGAAGTAGGTTCAGAAGCCGGCTCTCTCCTGCCCCAGCCCAGGGCGGCCTTGCCCCAGCTCTCGGGCCTTGACCCGCGAAGGGACTACCACTCTGTGCGCCGGCCAGACGTGTTACTACATTCGGCACACCACGGCCTGGACGCCGGCATGGGCGACAGCCTTTCGTTGCACGGTCTTGGACATCCCGGCATGGAAGATGTGCAGGTAATTCCAAACAAACAAACAAAAACAGACATAAGAGATAATAAAAGAAGAATGCTGGGGGAGGGAGGGGTGGCCTGGTCTTCTGCGGGTGGGAGATTGTCATCTTGAGAACCGGACCGACCGGACAGGACAAGAGTGTGTGTTTGAGTGTGTGGCTTCAAAGTGGCAGTTTCTAGAGATCCATTTGTGAATGACAGGACAGCTGGAAATTAAATCTTGAAGGAGGAAATGTGTTCGTGAGAGTTTACAGTCATTGCCGTCAAGGCTAATGTTTTCATCTTGACTCAGCTACTGGACTTGTGGTTCTCTGTTGCTTTGTGTGAAGAAGTTGGCACCAGGATTATCCCATAGCGATCCTGTCCCGGTGGCTTGGTAGGCTAAATGCAGGCTGTGTAGACCAGAGCTCTAAGCTAGAAGATACAAGGGCCCCTGGAGACTCCAGGTGTTCTCCCCGTTTGCAAAGCTGTGCTAAGAATGACAAAGCACTCTGCAGGAGAGTCGTTAGCTGTTTGCTTAAGACTCTTTTGCTTTGAAATTCCAAATACTGCAGAGCCCTTTTCTCAAGCAGAATTCTAGAGCGGGTCACCTGACAATGGGATCAAACCCACAGAGTTGCCACTGGGTTCTGGAGTCCTTGAGGAGAGATAGCAGTTTGGAAATTTCATCATCGGAAGGCTACTTAATTGGCTGCAAAGCAGTGTCCCCCACCTTCTCCTTCAGCCCTCTCCTCCGATGGTTGCCGCCCCTCCCCAATGTCACCATCCTTCTGAAGAGGCATCACGTGTTTATTTCTTAAAACAAAAGGTTCAAAACGTAACCCCTACCCACCCAGTACCCCATCTGCAGCCTACACAATGGAGGCTTACTTGGACGGGAACACTTGGTTAAACTAAACAAAGAAACATCAAAGAAAAGATTCCTAAATACTGTCAGGGTGATTCTGAACAGTACTGCTTCACACAAGACCTCCCCCAATTTAAAGGGTCTCCAGAAAAGATAAATATTGTCACAGAGCATTTAATTGACACTTGTATCTCATTGACATAGTTGAATTTGTTGTGCATCGTTGTAGACTTATCTCTGAAGTGAAGAGAAACAAAATGGAAAAGAGAAAGTAGCCAAGCCCCAACCCCTTCCTCTTTACTTTGCTGTGAGTGTGTGTGTGTGTGTATGTGTGTGTGTGTATATATGTGTGTTGTATATTTAAAAACAGTCCAATTGTGGTGACAGCATGAAATGCCATCTCCATGCGGTCTGTGATGGTTCATTGTTTTAGAGGAACCTTGTTATTAAAAAGGAAGACATCACCTGACCTGCGGCTGGATTCATTCACAGTACCAGAAGTGATGGTTTTGTTGATTTTACTGAGCTGTGTCTGTCTAGAGGTATTGCTCATTTCAGGATACCATACAGGCAAAGAAACACTGAGTTGTTTTTTAATGCATTGGAGTAATATGCATGGGGGGAGTTTTTAAATTAACCTTTCTTAGTATGGTTCAAAGTACTGGATAATGAAGGTAGATCAACCACACACCTCCATTACCCTAGGGATGCTAACATCACCCTGCACATGCCATTACCATAACTGGGGATATAAACATCCTCTACCACCATTTCCACCCCCAATGGACTCAGGAATCTCTCGCTAAAACAGAGAACAAATTTCTTTGGCTTTAGAATGTTTTCTTTAAGTCAAAACTTTAAGGGGTTTTTGGATGTTTGGCAAAATGCAAAGGGAGTTGACAAAACAAGGAACCAGAAACCAGGCCAGGGAAGTGCTATTGGGCAAATAACAGTCAAAGGAACTGGATGGATTCAAAGTATTTAAGTGAACCCAGCATCAGCCTTAGCCTGTGGGGGGTAGAAAGTGCTCCCTGCTTCCCTTTCCTTCCTCCAGCTGATAGCCTGACAATGTGGGGAGGCCTGTGGGACCTTCTCCAGCAACCCTAAGTGAGAAGACTATGGGGATGTACAGTCGATGCCATCCTCAGCATGAATAGATCTTTGTGAGGCTGGTTCCTCTGTGATTCTGGTCCAGTGTGGTCCCAGGGACAGGCCTCCTGAGGTTAAAGCCAGGCTGAGATGGCATAGGGAAGGAAGGAGAAGGGGGTGTGCTTTGGATGCAGAAATGTAACTGCATCCCCCATAAGGGTCCACTGCCAAGTTCTGGTTGGGGGGGGCTAAAGTTATGGAAGTTATGGTGTCAGGTCTTCAGATACCAATCAACAGACCCAAGGGGGCAACTGCACTGAAAACAGAGTGGTTGTCAGAACTCTGACTCACTTATTCTATCTCAAGGGTCTGGTATATGACCATTCAGGACACTGAAAGCAAGGGGCCAGACAGAGTCAGAGGGTGCTACATAGACCCTATGGGTCCAGAATCGGGGGATTTCATGTGACCTAGAGGCACATTCACGAGGCCGCCGCCCTGTGAGAGAAAAGGAGAGCTAATTAACCAAATGCTTCTAATATTTTTTAAATGAAACTATAAAACCCTGTCAATTTCTATTTCAATTTACTCGCAGGGGCTATTAAACTAGCAGATCACTGTCTGGGTTCCGGGTATGCTACATTTCACCCATTGGGGAGGGGGGCAGTGTTAAAAACTCAGGGGGAAATGGCTACAGAAAAAGAGAACCGAAGGGACACCTAGTTGTGGATTTGGTTAGTTGCCGTGTAGGCATCTTGTTCTTCACAGCTTGGGTTTCTAACCTCTCATCACCTCTACCACCCATGAATATCAACAAATAAAGCTTTTAAGTGAACCCTACACACACACACACACACACACACACACACACACAACACTACACTCAAACACACCCCTGTGTCTTAAAGCAACCCCTGGTATCACTTTTAACTAAAGAAGTCTAGTAATTACGAGTCTGAGTTGTTTTTCTGCGCTTCCGCATGCAGTCCTAATTAAATCTTTACGATCCTCCCTGTGACGATTAAGCGCCAGCATGCTGCGTGAATATCCTGTACAAAAACCCAGCAGGCGGCCGTAATTAGATAGAAAATCAGACAAGAGCCTTCTCATTAACTACCACAACTACCCCACGTCGCTGATGAGGCGTAGATACATATTTGCGCACCAACCTAAGCGTGAGGTGTGGGGGCTCACGGGTCCAGGACCGTATGGGATGAGTTTCGCTCCCACAAACACAGGCGACTTTTTCTGTCCTGGCTGGACCCATAGCCATTGCCAACAGACAGATGAGTGTAGAAAAGAATGAAGGGAGTGTGACCATAGGCCTGTGTGTAGGACAGTGTCCCCTGAAAACTTATGAACAAGTTCCATGAAACATTTTTGAAGCACCTCTTCACTATCAAGGTGTGTGTGGTGGTCTACAACTTAGAAAACAGTTCGAGTGGAGAAGCACCCCACCCTCAGCTTTCTAAGAGCAGAAGAGTGTCTAGTAAAAATGAAAAGAAACAAACGAGTATACCCCCTGATGGTTAGAACATCTCATTTCTCAAACCACACTTGCTAGTTTGTGGTAGCTTTTTCTTTCTTTCTTTCTTTCTTTCTTTCTTTCTTTCTCTCTCTCTCTCTCTCTCTCTCTCTCTCTCTCTCTCTCTCTCTCTCTCTCTCTCTCTCTCTCTCTCTCTCTTTCTGTCTTTCTTTCTTTCCTTGTGATGGACATGCATTCTGTTCATGGAGGTATCCCGAATGGGTGGAAAGTGCTGGGGGAAACTCTTCATCCCCAAGACTTTCTTACACTTCTGTTTTAGAGTGGGTGACAAATTGATCTGAACTTAAATTCCGAGGGATTAAGGGAAGCAGTTGGAGGATTCAGAAAGACAGTGGGTATTTTCTTTGTGAGCTGGGAGGGTGGAAGGGAATCTGCTTCTTTAAACCCTGCAATGCACAGCAAGAAGGCTAGTTCCCATGTGTCCTGACAGCTAGGAACTAGCTCCACCAACTTTTCTCTCAGAAGTGCTGCCAATTCTGAGCTGAAACTTCCCCTCTCTATGATGAAACTGAAGATGGATATTTCTTGTTACCAAGGTGCTGGCTGGGAGGATCTAGTCCTTTGTGTGTGCAGCATTCTCTGTGTGCCTGTGTCTTTAGTTACTGCCTTCCTAACAGGTGTGCAACTGACTGGCCAGCATCACCAGCATGGCTGGAGGGGGTATATGGCCATTGTACAGGCTCCTGTAGGGACTGTCATCTTGCAGCAAGAAGCTCCTAGCTCACAGGAACATGTGTGGACTGCAGTGGGTGTGAGGTCTTAGAGGCTTTTGTATTGCTGTTTGCATTCCATTCCAAATTGCTCAGACTTTAATTAAAATCCCATAATGTAAACTATTATGTATTTGTAAAAATCGCTCTGGGGTTAAGTGCACTGGGATAGAAGAAAAAAAAAAGAAATTGCTCTTAACTGATTGATATTGGTGAAGAAATTTTTGGCTGTTGCCAACTTTCCACAATTCATATGGGCAAGTAATATAAAAGTTTATATGCCTCTGTAATATCTGTTTCAGATAATAACAAAGCTAATATCACATCAGACGTCTCTCATACGTTCTGTTTTCTCTTTCTCCTATTGGGAGAATTTACCATTCCAGTGAATTTCATTTCTATGTCAATTTGGAGATAATAAGGATAATAATAAAACCTCCCTTTGCGAATTAATATAAATGGAAATAATAGAAACTCCCATTTAGAATGACATGATTTATGTATGCAATTCTTTAATATCCAGTCAATTTGAATGGTGATGTTTTTATATTCACAGTCAGTTGAAGATGCCAATAACAGCGGCATGAACCTATTGGACCAGTCAGTCATTAAAAAAGGTATGGATTTTTCCTTCCAAAAGTAAGCAAAGATTTCAATGTCTTTATGATGAACTTTCAGTTTGGGGGAAGTCATGTTGTATCACACACACACACACACACACACACACACAAATGTTTGCTGTAATCAGTTCAGTGGCTATCAGGCTGGGTAAAAGGGCATGGTGGGAAAAGGGAAATGGGACCAAGCAGAATGGCAACTCTGTCAGAAGCCAGGATTGGAGAAACAGAGCTACACTGACAATTGCAATTTTTCTCATAATACATAAGGTAGCCATTCTGAACGTATCTCATATGACTGGGCCATCGTGATGCGTAGAAACAGCTGGGATGCACTGGTTTCCAAAACGGGAGAGTATTACTTCATTCATATCTGAGTTTGGCTGTGTTGAAGTCTGTCTCATGAAGATAGCTTTTCTTTCCCCTTGTTTTTGGTTTGATTTTTTTCCCCTTTGGTAATTGTGGTGCCAGTTCTCCTGTGTCTTCTGAGTTGTTTCTTTTTATTATTTTTTTAAATTGTGCCAAATGCTTTGCTAAATACACGCACCCTGAGAGGCTGAGACAGACTATGCATGCATCTAAATCTTCCTGCATATGCGCACATGATTTACTGTGACTGTGGGATCACCCCATACTGTTAAAGGGCATGTGATATTAACAAATGTTTGCAGTCTCTTGTACAGCTGTAAGCAAAATAATTAACTAATTAAACTAATTAAATGTAATTACAATAACTCATTTCAGGCGTATTGCAGCTGCTTAATTTTTTTCTCCTCTTCTCTGACAGTCACTAAGAGAATGTCTGGCGATTAGAATAGCTGCTTCAAGGCCTGAATGCCATTCACATACCACAAATTTAAGAGTTCGAATGTGTATGCAGGGCAGTCTTTAATTATCACCCGGATTAGTATTGGAAAGCACAGTTTTAACGACTATAGTCCTTTCTTATTGAGGCTAGAGGAAGACAGTCCTTATGTTTGGAATCAACAGTCCCTAGCTTCAGTCACTTGTGATTCACTCGAGCCACTTAACATTCACAAAAATAATTAAGAAAAAAAAGATAATTTAGAAAGCAATCCATCCAGCCTCAAATTGGGGGAGTAAGTAGTAGGCAGCTTGTGGAATAAGGATCCCAAAGGGGCTAAAAGTGGGTTGAATTTCCTCCTTTTAGAAAGTCACAGTTATCTAGCTTTGTGAGGTAGACAGGGAAAACAGTGGCTGAAGGGTCCCTTTCGTCTTTTTCCGAATGATCTTTTAAATAGGTTTAAAAATATTGCCTAGCATTTCTCCCTCCCTTCTTTAGCTAATGCCATCTTCAGCTGGTCTACCGGAGCGCATGCTCAGGCTGGCAGCCCTGCGGACAGCTCACTTTCACTGGTTCCTCCTGAGTCTTCTCCTTTGCTTAATTGCTGCTTGATTGGGGTGGGGTGAGGGAGGAGCTTTTCTGTTCCCTTTTGTCATTGTTGTTTTAATTCCCCCCTCCCTTTTGGTGGAAAAGCTAGAGCAGCTTAGTTCAGGGTTCTGTATCCTAGCAACATCATTTGGCTGGCAGAGGGACATGCCCAGCAGATGACCAATCAGAAATGTTATTAATAGTCAGGCCAATAAAAATATTTGGAACTTAGCTTGCCTGGCGAAATGGGCTCCGAGATTTACTTAGATGTGGGAAGCATCGGTTGCAGCATTTGAATATGTTTGCCAGAGAAGCATGATTATTTATGCACGAGGTTGCTTCCTGAGATACAGGATGGTGCTGACTAAAAAAGTTGCTTGTTCTGTTTGTCTGAGACTGCCACATGTTTCCCCCCAAAGCTTTTTAAAAAGCATGCTCGGCTTGCAACACTAAAGCAACACCCTACTCATGTTAATTGATTTGGGGTGAGTAGTTTAAATATGAATGTTAGGTCAGTTCTATTATTTGATACTTGAAATGTTTGCTTTATTACACCACGAGGAGATCCTAATATCACATTTTCATCTTTGAAAAGCCACGGGCAAGGGATGAACAAATGTTTGATTTATATTTTCTAACTCACCAGGAACCATTTAAAATAAAGTTATGGGTTCATTAGCTCCTTGCCAGCCCTCTTCCCTCCCATCTTTGCATCGTCTCGTCCCCATGAGGGATGCTTCTGTGAGATTAATTCTGGAGAGAGGTGAGAAAGTTTCCTGAACTGAATATTCTAAATTTCAGTAACTAGCAGGGGACTTGGTTGCTTAATTTGTTTTCTAATGGGCATTTAGACAGTTATTTAGAAAATTATACTTCGTTAATAAAAGGCCAGCAACTAGTCTACACTTACACATCTCTGCTCCTATGCTTATGCAGCCTAGCAACCTGGACATAAAAGATGTATTTGTCTTTCTTTGTGTCTTTCTGTCCAGTTGTGTCATGGCCACTCCTAAAATTTTCACTCATCTAATTTTTCTTCCCTGTTGACATCACCCCATACGTGACAGACTCCCCCTCTTGTTATGTTTGCGATGTCGGCTTAGCTGACATTTCTGAAGTAATTTAGTTAAGAGGAAATGAGTTGTTCCCAGTAGAGAGAGCAAACGAGTGGAGTGAAGGTAGCCAGCGTGATAAACGGCTCTTTCATTTGAAGATCTCCAGAGCTCGTTTACGGCTAATTTTCTGTATTGGCCCCCTTTGAGCTATTAATGCAATCGGCAGGGACCGTGGCCCCTCTCTTCTGAGCTGCCCCATTAGAGCTCCCATTAAGCTGCCTAGTCTCAACTCTATGGCAGGAGTTGGGGAGGGGGGAGTAATGAAAGGTGCTTTTTAAACTCTCCTAATCTAAACCGGCAGAGGGTGGTTAATACGATTTGAAGGGGGCTGGTCAATGAGCAATCAATAAAGTAATAATGAGAAGGATTCGCTACATTAACAGTCTAAAAATCCAACGAGACATTAAAAAATCATTCTTAACTCTCAGTTCCATTAAGATTAGGAATCTGGGTGCCTTGGGGGTGGGGGGAGTGCCCAACTAACATAGATGATGATCCTTGCCATCTTCCTATAGCCTAACTTAAAAGGCTTACCTAGGCACAAAGAAAGGGGGTTTGGAATCAGCGAGCAACATGCAATCTGTTTGACATATTAGACAGCAGAAAATATGTCAGAATTTCTTGGAAAGGTTATTGAGGCCGGAGTCCAAGGTTCAAATGCTGTGTCTGTGGGGCATTTTTATTGGTCTTAGGGATATCCTGTTTGGTTAGTTTCAGTTCAACCTCCAAGCTCTCCCATGTTTTCTCCGTTAGTTCTGGCCCCTTCCCCACTCAAACACTTTGGTGTGGGTTTTCTTGGAGAGGAGGGTTATAAAACTGCCAAATCTCAATTCTAACAGGTTCCTTTGAGATTCTTTCTTATTGCCTAAAAGGAATAGCACACCAAGATTCTGAGTCTGTCAGTGCCCGGTAGAAGTTGTGTGTTTCCTCTCAACAACTTCACCTTTCCAGAGGGGGGTGAGAGTAGGGAAAAAGAGAGGGGGAGAAGGAGGGAGGAGGGAGGCAGAGACAGACACACACATGAGAGAGAGAGAGAGAGAGAGAGAGAGAGAGAGAGAGAGAGAGAGAGAGAGAGAGAGAGAAGGAGTGGTCAGAAGCCATAGAAATTCAAAACTGGAAAGGTCAGACATTCTTTTCCATTGCCCCAAGTGTGGGGATCTGCAAGTGCATAGACTGGAGAAGATAAATGGCTTTCTCCAGTTAAGAAGACAAACTAAAGACATGATGAGACTCTATTCAAGTTTCAGGTTCTCAGATTCTGTCATTTAAGAATGCCAACTTTGGATATTAAGGGATATATATATATACATATATATATTCCTGTGTGTGTGTGTTTCATCTCATCACAATGTCAGTACTCATATATATTCCTGCTGAACAGGTGGAATAAAATTTAGACAAGAAGTAAACTTAAAAGCATGCAAATTTGAGAAATACCTTCCCTGATCATGAGAAGTGATTTTACTTCTAGGGTGCTGAATCTCTTGATTGCTTCCCAGTGTAGCTCTCATAGTTGTCATTTTCCTCCCTTCCTGGGGACTCATCTCTTTAATGTGTGAGGCAGGTACAGTTCTTCTCTTCTTCCTAATACGGGTCTTGTCAAATACAGTTTATCTGATTTGCAATTTCACCCTGAAGTTGCTTTTAAAAAGAGAAACGAAGTACTATCCCATTAATCTCTATATACTCAATATTTTCTCTAGTTTTCCTTACTTTAAAAATTCACTGCAAGGAAATATTAATCTACTTATGATTTTTTCTTTTCTATAATAATTCATATGTGTGTGTGTATCATATCTAGAAGTTAGTTTTATCATCCAATTAAGAACTGAACAGGGGGAAACCCTACTTTTTAATGTACACACAAAAAATTGTAAGCATGTGAAGAACCTTGCTATGCTTCATTTGCTTAGCATTTCCTGCTGTCGCTTTAAACCTATCTCAGACATCTCTGGGTCCATGAGCAGGAACAGTGTGCTCATAATTACTAACAAATCAACTAGGCCCTGTTACTTTCTGGGCATATTGATAAGCTGGAGGAAAGCAGAAGGGGAAAGATGAAGGGAATAAAATACCAGGTTAATCCGCTGAGTTAAGCAGGTGTGAGGACAAACAGGAAGATGAGATGACCAGGAAGCTATCAGGAAGGGAAGCCAGGAAGAAATACGTGTAGAGTCTGATCGAGGGGAATCCATGCTGGACCAAGGTAAAGGGTATGAGTTAGTCGTAGAACTTGAGGATAGAATGCAAGAACGTGATTTTGTTAGAAAATGGAAATACAGTTGAAAACACTTCTGTTCACCTTGTGAGCTTTTTTGTAAGTGGGAGAGGCAACCTTCCTAAGATGGAAGTGCACCACGTGTAAGCAGACACATGCATTTGTATATGTATATACAGAGAGGTAAAATCCAGGGGAGGGAGTCACTTACTCTCTAGAGGAAACAGCGCCTACCAGCTGAATCAGGCAATCCACAGCAGGACAGTTAAAGAACTTTATAATGTCTTTGCAAAGGCCCAAGTTTTCAAGAAATGCACCATCTGGGAAATAGGAAAACACTGTGTAAGAGATACTGGTCATTGTGTATAGCAGTAACTGTCAGTTTACAGGGGCTTGTTTTGTTATTAAAATAGTCTAAACAATGTTAAAGATAAGAGTGCTGCTGAGTTTCAAAGGTGATATGTTTAATGTTATTTATTGCTATAGTTCTCTTGTTAAAACTGCAAAGGGCTATCTATTTTTAGGGGAACTCTTTCCCAAACTGCTGTCATACCACTTCCCATCAGTATAAAACTGCATGTGATGACTGGAATATTTATCTATCAGGAATGCTAATAAAATAGGAGTCTAAAATAGACGTGGATTTTGCGCACAATAATTAAGTGGCAGGATGGCTTCATCCCAACCATCCATTTACAAAGAGACTTATGAACTCCAAGTGCTACTCATGTCTGAAGAAAACACTTTAATGTTTTGCTACTTTACTGTCAAATGGGAAGCAGTCCTTAGAGAAAATATGGGGAGGGGAGGGTGTCCAGAAAATAAAAATCCCCTTTGTACCTTGTCCCTAGCCTGTGACAGTGCAGAAAATGCTCTCTGTTTCCTAACACAATTCCTCCAACTAGACCAGATCTTGGGCATCAACAGCAGGTTCTAAAATCCCAATATTGTCGATTAAGAAGTGGTCAAAGAGAATACTAAAGTGTCTGAATCCACAGCCTTGCAGAAACTCTTTCCACAATGTTTTGGAAAACATCACATTAAATTAATAAACACCATGGAGTCTGAATGTTGAAATCTGTGGTGTAAAGAGTAAACTGAAAGAGAAACCCTGAATTCTCTGATCTGTCCTGTGGAAGAGAAGTTAGACACCTTTTCTCATAAAATTCTAGACTTCATGTGGCAGAGTGTGTCCTTTCCTTGCAGAGTTATAGGGTGAGATGTGGGCGTTATTAGAAAGGTATGTATGTATGTATGTATGTATGTATGTATGTATGTGTGTGTGAGTGTGTGTGTGTGTGAGTGTGTGTGTGTGTGTATGTGCGTATGTGCGTATGTGTGTATTCAATGAATTCTCCATGGAAGAAGTAGGTCAAATCAGGGCAAGTCCAAAGGGCATGACTTCCAGGACAGTGTTCACAGTTTCTCATTCTCCAGCCTTCCACCTAACTCAGCCCCCTCCTGACATGCAGATGACACCAAAACACAATTAAACAGAAACACAGGCTGGAGAGGCTGAATGCACCAGGATAGCAGTGGCAACCAGCTGTCAGCTCTTATTAACTTCCGCATAAAACATACCTTGAGTGCGGTTTGTTATCAATTACTTGCTGAAATGAAACAGCCGGGCAAGGCAAGACCGCCGCCGTTCATGTGAATTACAGTGATTGGTTGATTGATCAGGGCACCTGTTGTAAATCATAACTGTTCAAACAATCACGAGCTGGCGCTGTAATTTGTAAACAAAATTCATGTCGCTGCAGAATTACTCTCACTGGAGATGAGCATTTGGGTACATTTCTAAATGAATTCTGCTGCTGTTTTTATGTGTGTGTGGGAGGTTTCATTTCATTATAAGGCATAAAGCAGTTCTCTTCCCACTCCCCACCCCACCCCCACCATCTGTAGTGATGGCTACAAGTTGGGGTCCAGTCAAAGAGGAGGAATTTCTAGAAAGGTCATTGGCACTAACATTTTATCTCAGGATGGTGATATTAACCTTCACTCTCAAGTTCCTGATGAGACAGTGTTATCTTGGAGAGGACTGAGGAGGAAACTGAGATTAGGAGTCCAAGGTCACACTAGAAGCAGGTGGGGATCAAATAGGCTTTGACTAGATTCACAGGGTGATCTAAGATCCAAGGTCTAGGTTGAGTGTTTCCCTGATTTGTGTGGTGAGCAGGGCTGTGGCAAGCGACACTCATGTGTCCTCTTATGTGGGGTAAGTTTCCAGAGGAATGGTGACATTTGGGTCGGTTCACATCGCTGGAAAGGCATTGCAGCCTGGAACCACTGAGTAGCTGCCTCCCCCTACACTTTCCACTTGGTGGCTGCCCAGTGGCTTTCCCAGATGCCGCGTCCTATCAACCATCAGGAGGGCTGAAGCTCGGTCACCTTTATGGCAACATTTTCCTCCTCTCTCCATCTCTCCCTAGTTCCTGTCCCTCCCAAATCTGTGACTTCTCTAATGATGAATAAAGATGGCTTCTTGGGAGGAATGTCAGTCAACACCGGCGAGGTATTTTGCTCAGTCCCAGGCCGTTTATCTCTACTCAGTTCAACTTCAAAATACAAAGTGACTGTGGGAGAAGTTCAGAGACGGCTCTCGCCCCCTGAATGCCTCAATGCGTCTCTCCTTGGCGGCGTCCTCAGAAGGTAAAACAAACAAACAACAACAACAACAACAACAAAAATTACAACACACACACACACACACACACACAATTCAATTAGTGGAGGAGGGTGCTGTGGATACTGGGGGAGAAAGTCGAACGCAGTTGCCTAGCAACCGGTGCAGTTCTGTGTGATGCTGCAGGAAGGCTGTAGAAACTGCTAGCAGGGTGTCTAACACCAAGAGCAGAGTTCTCTAACCCAAGCCTCACCCATCCCAGACCTTATTGCGCATGCGTAACCCTCCTAGATAATTCAACATTGGAAACTTTTCACTTTCTTGCCTGCACAAGGCTCCCAATTTCGTGAACTGGCATTTGGAGCATTAGCCTCAGTTCAACCCAGAACTAGCCTCCCCACCACACAAGCTCATTTGAAACAGAAAAGGCAGTTACCATCATGCCTTCCATATACTATTTTCTAGTTTAAAAATGCAGATGGAGAGTAGCTAAGTTGGTCTCAGGATCAATGCACTCCTGTATTGTGCTTCCAATTTTGAAAAATCCTTTTCTACATTAGTGACCTTCCTCCAATGGCTTCACATCTCACAACACTAATAGAACTTTCTATTAGCAGTCATTTTCTGGAGCTATGCAGTTGCTCTCCAACATTACAACCCATGGACAGACTCCTAGTAAATGTGGAGAAAGAAATGGCTATTGTATTTTTTCTGCAACAGTGCTTGCAACACCTGGACCCTTGGCACTGTCCTTGTTAAGTGACAAAACTTTCTGTAGTTAACCCATTTTAGATGTTCACTATCCTTTTCTTCCTACAAGTGGCTGTGTGACAAGTACATGGCTTCATGCATGATAATTGCTATCCTTCTATTTTTACCCAGCCCTTACAGGATGGGGGGAACCTAGAGGGAAACTAAGGGTGTTGGTTTGACCCACAAATGTTCTTAGTTTGAATCCTCTTTCACTTTCCTTAATATTTGTTTTCAAGTAAGTCTTTTGAGCTTCAGAATCAGGATCTTATTAGTATTATTACTGATTTTGAGACAAGGTTTCTCTGTGTAGTTCTGGCAGTCCTAGAATTCACTTTCTAGACCAGGCTAGCCTGGAACTCAGAGATCTGCCTGTCTCTGCTTCCCAGGTGCTGGGATTAAAAATGTGCACAAGCACACTCCGGTTTCCAGAGAGGGGATGTTTTAATTCACTTCCTGAACATGAGTGTATAAAATTTATGAACTGTCATGGTGAATACAAAAAGTTTATCATATTAACATGCTGAAAAGTATTAGTATTGTTATCATGACAAAACAGCATTGATTACAAATGTCAACTTTCTCTGCCCTTCTCAAACTTCTCCATTATGTAGTTATTATTATTATTATTATTATCATTATTATTATTTGCTTCCTCCTTTAGAAGCCTATCTGTTTCTGGAAACTAGCCCTTTTCTTTTTCTCTCCTTTTTTTTTTTTTAAGCTAGCCTGGATTCTACTCTCCTCACTGGTTCTACGGCAAGGAGTGAGCCTGTACATGTACATGAACAATATTTACCTTTTCTGAACCCATTCCCCTATACTCTAATTATCCCATCTGGTATCATTCCCCCTCCGCCCCCCCACACGAGATTTTAAAAATAGGGCTTACTTTTTATGCTCTGTATGGCAGAAATTGAGCAAACCTCAGCAAACTCTCAGCCAATATCCGAAAGGAAAGGATGCAGGAGTGCTAACCTCAAGTTAAAACCTCTTTAAGCTCCAGTGAGCTCTAGATTGCTAAGTCTAAACTTTGTTTCAGGAACACTCTGAGGTTAATCAGAATGTTAATTCTTGCAATTGCAGAGCCAAATCGAAAAATGGGGGGAGATCCTTGAGAGAAAGGCTAGAAAAAATCGGTTTGAATTTACCCGCGGGCAGGCGCAAAGCAGCAAATGTCACCTTACTCACCTCCCTGGTGGAAGGTAAGCAAGACTCGTGGCCATTTCTCGAAGTAGCTGAGCTTAACTGTCGGCTGGAGGCTGACATTTTACATGCTTTATGATTAACTGGAAATCATTGTGATTGTTGTGCCCTCGTGAGTTGGATGTCAAGGGACTGCAGGAGAGAAGACCAGAGGTCTTTTTACTTAGAGGAAGCTAGCAGTTGCAGGCAAGCAAAAGAAAACAAGGTGTATAAGGGTTCCTATGCTCCAAACAGGGATCAGGCCCAATCTCCAAGTTAGAGGAGGGGTAACTTCCCTGGTCACAGCAGCTGAAGAATCCTCTGCTTGAACTCCCACATGATATCATCTCTGCAAACTGCAAAAGTGTTACTGGTAAAAAGTAGGTGCAGTTGATGAGGGTAAAGGCACTTGCTTCCAACCATGACCGCCTGATGGTGGGAGAGGTCCTTCCTGGTCTTCTTCCCATCCCTACACTCTTATCCCCCAATAAAGGTAATAATTAATAAGGCATAAAAAACATTTAGTGTTTCCTGAATCTTAATGGTTATTTTAAAACTCATGACTCTTCCAGAGTTCTGTCTCCTACCTTGTATGACTTGGTGGATTCTTGACACCTTAGTAAGTTCAGCAATGCTTAAGAGAAAACTGTAGAGGGCGTGGCACTATGAAATAGTGTGGAGAGAGAGAGAGAAAGACAAGTTGATTCTTTAAGGCAAACAAATGCATTGGTGGTGAATTAAATGGCCATAATTTTACTAAGAAACTTCTAATTTGCTTGTCAGTTTGGGTTTTCTGATGAAATCTTTGCCCTGTAATAATTAAGATCATCTATGTGGCGGAGAAGAAGAGTGTCTGCAGCTCAGTGTGAAGGCAGGGGCAATAGGAAACAAGACCAGGTGGTACATGTGGAAGATGGTGGAGACTTTTCTCTGGAATCTTCCTATGTCCCTTTTTATGTGCTCATTTCTCGTGCATGTTTTAGTAGATATGATATTATGACTCTTGTAGGGAATTGGCTCTTGCAGGACAACATCTTATGCTATCTAAATGACAGCCACAAAGAGACCAAAGAGTTGCTGGTCCTGCATTTTGCCATCGATAAAGCAAAAGTTTTGTTTTGTTTTTGGCTCAAACTCACCCACCAGAGGCCTTAAATCACCACATTTCCAAATCCCAATTGTTAGTGGTTGACTCTTCCTTGCCTGTGGATAGTTCATTTTGATTTTTAGGGAATCACTAATATCACAATCCTTAAAACAGTCAAGGTAATCTTAGCATGAGACAGAGATTTTGGTAGAGAAGGGAAGAAGCTGGAAACCACACCAAATTGGCAATATCTGGTGGGCAGTTTTTGGTATTATGAATCCTGGTATGCACCGTTCTTGAAGCCTTTCGTTAGTATAGTATCCCTGAAAGCAAGTCACATTCCCTCCAAATAGTGTATCTATGAGATAATTCAACATCCCTCTTTTCCGAGTCTGTGATCTTTTCTAAAACCCCAAGGCTGCGCTTTAAAAGGTAATGATGCTTAATTCAGAAGGGTTTTCTTCCTAAGCTCTGGAATGCCAAGTGGCTTGGTGTTTGCAGTTACATATTTGTGCAGTGAGACATCTTTAAGTAGGAGGATGATGACAGAAAGGTCTGAAAGAGAAAAACCTGAAAATAGGAAGAAAATTGTAGGGTGAATTGCACGGTGAATAATTATTTTGCTGATAGAAATACTCTTTTCATACACTACATGTTATATGTAGTTATCAATATTCAGCCACATATGTGGATTTGTTTATGTATATTAGTTATAAACACAAGACTGACTAATAGAATTGTAGGAAGATGGTGCCACTTCAATATTTTATTTCAAGCAGTAGTAACTGGTACTTTAAACAGAACAGAGGAGTCTAGCTAGCATATCCCACCATATGTCTAGATTCAATTGTAAGGTGGCTCTAGAATCTATGGTCACTTTCTCCTTAAGCCAAATTACAGGAGGCAGCCTTGGGAAGGAGCTGTGTCTGTCCAGAGCCTGGCTTTGGCAAAGACTAGTTGAGTAAGGTTTGTCCTGTTCTCTTTAATTACGAAGTTCATCTTTACTCCAGGTATCTGTCTCAGGTTTGGGTTTGTTCTGTATCTGGCCTCAGGTGTTCACTTCCTGGGCATTGATTCTCTGCTGCTCTCCTTGCAGGGGAAGCTGTTCACTTAGCTCGGGATTTTGGGTATATTTGCGAAACAGAGTTTCCTGCTAAAGCTGTGTCCGAGTACCTGAACAGACAACACACAGACCCCAGTGACCTGCACTCCAGAAAAAATATGCTGCTGGCCACCAAGTGAGTTCCCAAGACCCTGGGCCCTGATCCAGGACTCTCTTCCTGACATAACTCTACTTAGGAAACGATGGAGCACAGCGGTGCAGCCTCTCTGGTGTGGCTTCAAAGTGCCTTGTCAAATACAACAGTAGAGCAGGCCAAGAGAGGCCAGGAAGCTACCTAGCTTCTGAAGGGCGTGTGTGTGTGTGTGTGTGTGTGTGTGTGTGTGTGTGTGTGTGTGTGTGTGTGTGTTGACGATGTAGACTTGAGGGTTATGGGCTTTTCCAGTCCCCTTCTCGGTTTACAAAGAGAACACAGGCTTTTGACAGTTTTCCTCCACAGTTCTGGGGTGTCAGGCAGATTTCCCCCAAGCCTCTTCCCAGACCCCTAGGTGAGCATCTTCCTTGCCATCGGGAGATCTGCCATGTGTGTTCGCTCAGGGTGTCTATGTCACCCACGTGTGCCCATCTCTACCCACAGCTCTAATTACTCCATTTCCAACGTGGCTGTTTGTCATCTCCCATGGACTTGTAAAATTTACTACAACTCCAGAGGGGAAAACAGTAAATCTCTGGCTAAATTTAGGTCTAGAGCTCATTTGAACATTTACAGTGGGTTTTCTATTTATTTGATTTACTCCTGTCTTTGGCTTCAGTGTCATATTGTTGGTGTTTTATGACCAGCTCAGGCCTGCAGTGGGCGGCGCTGCGTGCACCAGCACGTTTCTCTGTCGCAGGCGCGGCCTAAACAGCAGCGCTCATTTATTTAGCGTTCCAGGACGCGGTTTGTTCCGTTGACAGCGTAATTTAAAGAAATATATGGAAGGCTGAAAAATCATTTGCTCAAATTTGTCCAGATGTTTTTGAGACGTGATTGGAATTTGATTGCCCCTTTCCGCAGGGTCAAAAAATATTAATGTCCCAGAAGTTTAATTGCTTACAGAGCCTGGTTTGGGCTGTGTAGATTTTAAATGCTTGACTTTTAAAACATTTGTTCTCTGCACTACAAAATCTCCTTTTTTTGGCACTTTGGAAAAGAGTACAAACTTCAGGAAAGACTTCAATCATTTTTCCCACTGACCAAAACCTGGCATCTGCCCTCCCTTTAGAAGGCTTTCTGCTAATGTACCGTCTAGCAATGCCATATATTTGTGGGCGAGTTATACTGCTAACCTCTTGCTTTGGGACTTGATAGTAAAAAGCAGTTGTATTTTATAAATGATACAGGGGACTTCAGGGCAAAACAAAACAAAAACAAAACCCCTAACATGTCTAAAGCAGGTAACAAGATCCACAAAACCTACTTGTTTCCTGAGGAAGCCTGAGGATTTTTAAGGCCACTACTTTATCTATCGCCTAGGGTATCAGAACCACCTTGCGAGCTTTCCTACTATGCTTGTATCTGGACCAGATGGAAGGGAGGCGAGTTAGAGACTGGAGTGTGCATGTGAACCTCACTAAGGCCAGCCCTACTGAGTGAGCACAGCCACTTGCTGTGGGGATATACGGATATATTATGAATGGGGACCTGAAGGGCAGGCAGAGTCTCTATCGCGGTGCTCTAGCCACGGGCCTTCAGTCTTTCTGTTGCTGTCAGTGGGTGGAAAAGTGATTCCCTATTAGGTTTATTACTAGCCCTGGGCAACATAGCACCCCAGGGAAGGGTGCCCCAAGGGTCTTTCAAACCCAGAAATCTGCCCTGTTTATCTGATAGTTAGCCAGGTGTGAGTTGCTACATGTCCTTCCTGGGCTGTCTAGGTCCAGTATGATATATAGGTTTACTTCTCTTGACATCCCACAGAACCACAGGCTGAGGGCAGGTGGTCAGGAGAAGCCTGCCAATTGTGGCCTCTGGGATGCTATGTCTCAGCTTGCCAGCAGACCCAAGCCATCTGACCTTCAGGGCTAAACCCCTCCCATCCATTTCCTATATTAAAAATTTCTCAAATAAGCTCAATCCATAGTTAGGCACAGAGGGTTCCTAAGGCTAGGAGATTCCTCTCAATTGTAGGTGCCTTGAGGAGGTAAAAACCTTCAACAAATAAAAATCTATCCTCCCTAGTGTTTTAACCATCTACCTTTAAGTTTTATTTAAACCATGCAGAAATCTTTTTATATTGACAACAATCCTGTTATACAGAGATGTTTAATAGCTTACATTTGCAAAAAGGGGAGAGAGCTTTTTTTTTTTTAAGAAGGGAAGAGATATCTCTCTTCAAAAAAATGCAGCAGGTAAACGGGTTTTGCTTTGCATGGGATCAGCATTCTCTCTTAGAATAAACAGGTTTTTGCCCTGGGCCATGCAAGGCTCCAGCAATCTGCTTCTGGTGCCAGGGACAGGGCTTGTGGCTGAAGGGTTTATATCTTTCAGGGTTTGTGTGTGTGTGTGTGTGTGTGTGTGTGTGTGTGTGTGAGAGAGAGAGAGAGAGAGAGAGAGAGAGAGAGAGACAGAGAGACAGAGAGACAGAGAGAGAGAGAGACAGAGACAGAGAGAGAGACAGAGACAGAGAGAGAGAGACAGAGAGAGAGAGACAGAGAGAGAGAGAGAGAGAGAGAGAGAGAGAGAGAGAGAGAGAGAGAGAGAGAGAGAGAGAGAGAGAGAGGAGAGAGAGAGAGAGGTTGGAAAGAAACAAGGGGAAATAATTAAAGTGGTGCCAGGTAACAGCTAAAAATTATTGACTATTCCAAATCAAAAGCCAACATAGCGAATTTCCTAAAGCAGAATACAGGTGGTCCAGGAAGGGAGAGGGAAAATGAAAAAGCGTGAGGGCGGAGGGGTACATTCCTCTCACTGGGTCCCTTCCCCCTTCCGGAGCCAACCGCTGGGCGAGGGAACGCTCCGGGGAAAGAAACCGCAGGATCCCCTAAGTTAGCCTGGAGCAGTCCGCAGACTCAGTGCCTCTGGGCTTGTGTGAGTTTGTTTGGGTTGCAAGGCCAGAGTGACCGGGACTCTGAGGGCGCTTTTCTCTTCCTCCTTCACCATCCGCAGGCAACTTTGTAAAGAATTTACGGATCTGCTGGCGCAGGACCGGACGCCGATCGGGAACAGCCGGCCCAGCCCCATTCTGGAGCCCGGCATCCAAAGCTGCCTCACGCACTTCAGTCTCATCACGCACGGCTTCGGCGCCCCGGCCATTTGCGCTGCGCTCACGGCCCTGCAGAACTATCTCACCGAGGCGCTCAAAGGCATGGACAAGATGTTCTTGAACAACACCACTAACAGGCACACGTCTGGGGAAGGCCCAGGTAGTAAAACTGGCGACAAGGAGGAGAAACACAGGAAATGAAAAAAAAAATTAAAAAGAAGGAAAATGTTTTAAATACAAAAGGAAAACAGAAAAAAAATTTAGCTTTAACATATTGGATTGGCTTTGGAAGAATTGTATTAGGTAGAATACACATACAATCAAAATTTTAAAATGAAAGCTAAATAAGTTAAAAAAATAACCTGAGGCAAACAACGGAGCAACAAACCGGCTCTCGGTGTCTATTTCAAGATACACATGGAGACAACCGTCCGGATTTTCCACTTCGGTTCTTTCGAGCTTAGTAGTACAGATAATAAAAGAAAACTATGAACCCCCTTTTGGAAAATAAACATGAGACTAAACATGAGAACACGCTAACTTATTGGAAGATAATTGGAGAAACGTTGGTGTCAATGCTCTGAGAGCTGGTTGACTGAGACGAACGAACTTTTACAATTTGATTTTTTTTTAAAAGGAAACTCTCGCAGTCCGCGCGCGATCCTTTTGCTCCTCACCCTTCTCACCGTTGCTTCCCATCCTCCCCTCCTCACACGGTTCCGGGGATCTGCTGGCTGATCACCAGTGTGGTTAGCTCTTTGGCCTTGCATTAGTCCCTTTGGTATCCAGACCTTGCCTTGTTCTCCCAACTCCCCGGTGCCCAACTCCCCCCGGTGTGTTTAATTAGGGAGGCGTGGAAGGGGAAGGAGGGGATGGGGGAAGAGGCTTTAGCTTTTGATCCGAGAGTCTAGTCTCCCGCGGCAGAGGAAACCCAGTCTGATAAGTTGATTCATCATGGTTCCTTTCAGAAAACGTTGCTAGTTCCCAGACTTGCCAGTACCTGTTCACAGAGAATATTACATTCGTTATACTTGTGTCACCTAGAAGTATAGTTGAGAAAGAAAGAAAACAAAACACGAATACTTTGATTAGCATGTAATGCCTTCGGAGGGGTATGTACCATTTCATTTTCTTCTGTTTCCCAAAGCTTTACCCGCATGGTTTATGAGCTTCTTCAAAGAAGACTCGGGCTTCCTACACAATCTATAAGGTACTGAGAAAAAAAAATCCGGTCCTTTTAAAGTCAAAGCCTGTGTGTCAGAATTCGGCAGGGTCACCTCTTTAAAGAAGCTCAAAGGGAATCATTTAGGAAGTGGCCAGTGTCTTGGGGGTGGAGGGGACAGCTTTGAATTTCTTGCTTACACACATCACCACGGAAATTCCCGCAGGGGTGGGGCACTGCACAATGCCTTTTAAGGGAGTAAGGCTTCCTGGGAACCTATATTTTAACAGCATTGTCTTCACTGAAAAATGAACTCCATTTTCTTGCTCTTTGGGGACCGTTGCTCCAATGCAGACAGAAGCAGCATTGCCAATGTTAATTGGGAAAGGCAGTCTACAAACCACCGTGAGCTTCATGAATGAAGCCGGTTCCCATCTCAGAACACACCTATTTTGGCACAAAAAATGGTTAGCTCCACCACCACCACCTCCACCAGCACCTCCATCACCACCACCAAGCAAAGTCAAAAGGGCTTGTCTTTCAGCTTTGAATTCCTGTCTGCATGTACTGGGGAATATTCCCAGTGGATGAGGTTCCATGTGTTTGATGCAACCCACTTCTCTCCCTCTAGCTTCTTACTCATACTCTTATCTTAGCCTTACCACGAGATAAGTCCTGCACCTTTAGCCAGAGCAGTGAGATCTGAGTATGTGCTTCCTGAGATAGATACACCCCTTTAGTGTGGGTACACTTGTTTCTTTTCAACAAGCTGGGCCGGATTTTTGCAAAGTCCATTGGGATACAATTTCAGGTGCCTTCTGTGGTTTACAGATAGCTAACTTCCATCACCCCAAATGATCTAGACCCTCAGTTTCCCCATCCTTCTCCAACACACCTTAAAGTAAGGGAAGGAGCTTAGTTTTAGGGACCCTGTGAGGGCTTTGCTCAGAGGGTTTTATTTGAGGGAAAGGAAAGTCACACCCTGGGTTTTAGGTCACTGGAGGTTGTAAGCAACAATTGAGATCAGGCAACAAACACCCCATCTCCCATCTCTAGCTGCCTGAGTCCCGTTGGTTTCAGCATAGAGCCCTAGACAAGCCAAATGGAGTCCAACGATGTGCACTATAGACTCGCATCTTTCCCCAGTTTAGAAGCCTGCCCCTTTTGTCCGAGGGCCTGAGGCCTGCATTAGTTGAATTCTGATTGCACAAGGCCAGCAGAAAACACACTGAAAAACATCGTCTCCTTTCCTTGCAGGGCAACGCGCCCCACGCGTGTGACATCGAGAGACGCGATGGATGCGCCTTGCTCTTACTGTGCAGGCCCTGGGAACATGTGGGCCACTGGAGCCCAGAGGTGTTGAGGACATAGATTCAGCAGCTGCTGGGGTCTGGAGCCACATGGGCTCTTCCTGCTCTTGGTCTCACCCTAAGGGCTAAGGCAACTTAGAAAATCCAGTTCCCGAGTAGGTAAAAGGGCCATGCTCCACTGGCTGCTGGGGAGAAGGGGTCCCAAAGCTCTGTAAAGTTCTTTTCCGGCTAGCCTGCACTCCTGGCCCTACTCTCACAGACATCGTGGCCTGGAAATGTTCACGGAATTTGAAACTTCCAAGTGTTCTTTTCTACCAGGAAGGAGACCTTTTCTCCCCTCACTCTCTTGAAGTATGGGCAAACTGTGGTACTTGGGTAGGTAGGCTCCCTTAGATGCCCTGCAGTCTGTATGAGCTAAGGTCCGTCTCCCCTCGCCTCCGCCTCTGGGAGTGAGTCGGTTCTGCCTTTTTTTTTTTTTTTTTTCTTTTTCACGTCGGACCTCCAACCCCTTGCTTTCCTTAACCAGGCCAGCTACGTTTATCTGATAATTGAGTTATTAAAAGATTTGGTTTCCTTGGGCTTATAAATCAATAAACAGTAGGATTAACACAAGAGTTTGCCTTTTAAGTCAAGGAAAATGGTTAAGGCCAGACCCTTTGAGTTCTGTTTTCAAACCAAACAGGTGATTTGCAGTCCCCTCCTCTTCCCCTGCACTCTCTAGACGTTTTATGCCCCTACTAAGCCCTGGGGTCCCAAACTAAAACAGCTCAAGACTGAAGAGTAAGCCTGTGGCAGTCGAGTTCCCTGGAGGGTCTTCTAGCCCCTCTTAGGAAATCCCGCCTTCTCCTACTTGCATTCTGGGTTTCATGGAGTTTGTTCCCAGGTGAGAAGGCCTTCTTTAGGGACCTTTAACTTCCACTGCAACTAGGAAGTAACTTTCTTCTCTCCGTTTCCCCGACTTACCTTGCATTTTCTTCTAGCTTTCTCCACCCCCCACCACCCCATATAAAGAGCCCAAGAGGCTTTCAAAGATCCGACTTTTGTTTTCATTGGCCAAAGAAATCACTTTCTCATAGGCTATTATTTCATATCCTGTGAAAACTTTGGTCGAATGGAAAAGCCCATTCACTTTTATCTACAAGTCCCTCACTTATCTACATACTTCTTCCAGTGGGTACAAGACCCACCCCTAGTTAGAGAATTGAGTCATCACACCTGATATCCTGTACTTGCAATACATTATCAAAAGGAAATGATGACCTTAAGCCACCCAACCAAGCCTCAAGAGCTCCGACAGACAGTGTTTCCCTTCTTTGATGGTGTGCATTAAATTATTGGTGAAAGGAAAGAGAAGTAGTGAAATTCGTTCATTTTCTTCAAGGGAAAAACAAAACAACAGAGTGAACACCATTCTTTAAATGTCACAATTGATTCCCCCTTTGAGTTGGTCTCTAATTCAATTCACTATCATTGTTTTTACTACCCAGTCAAGAAATACCAACTGCTTCTTCTTTAAGAGCACTCTGGAGGGTATCCGTGTTAAGTTTGTATATATTTATTTATGCTTAATTTAATGGGAATGTGTAAATATGATGAGCAAGTAGTTTGGGATTATTTATCTGTGAATCTATACCTCTGTGAATGGGTGGTTAAAAAAAAACCGCTTGACCCTAGGTAGAATCCTATCTGAATTTTTCTGTTCTTTATAGACAAGCTGTTATGGTATTGGGTAGAAATTGGTTTATTGTCCAGTGTTAATCTGATTTACATAAATAAAAAGATTGTTGTGTTTTTGTTGTGTTCTCATCTTCAGTTTCTTAAACATGGATATTGTTTCATTCTACAGACAGAAAAGAGATATAGTAAAAAGCTTTCTTCCTTTTGCCTCACCCCCACTGAAGTGCATACAGAGTTTTGTTACAACGGAAATACAATAAATTATGCTTATCAGGAAAATGAACACTTTTGTTTCCAGTAGGAGGTGCTTCTTTTGTTTTACTTTTCAATTTCTAAATGGATACTAGTCCCGATCATATTTGTAATAAAAGTTCATGTTAACTGCATCTTACTGTTTATTTTACCCTTAAAAGAAAAGGGGTGTTATATTTACTCCTTGGGTGTCTAAAAGATTCTGAGTCCAGATCGAAGATGCTACAGTGGGAAGTTGGATGGGCTGGGTATTCCCAGGTGGTGTTGGTACACACGGAAAAACTGGGTGCTAGCTCCTGCACTTGAAGACCTGGGCTCTGTGGGGGTTAAGTGGTCCATTTGAGGATAGAATCCCTTCCTCACTTCACCATTACAAGGGCTTCTGTAAATAAATGATGAAAAAGCTCCCTTAGCTTCTAAGAAGACTGGAGAGTTGTACGTGGGCTTAGGAGGCTTTCTTATCTTCTGTTCTGGGGCTGCCTGGAAGCAGCCAGCTTTTCTCATGTGGGTTAACAGACTTTGGCTTAGCCGCATAAGCTTCAGCAGCTAAACATCTCAATCTGTATTTGTCTCAAGCTGGGGGTATCTTCCTAGAGGTCAGGAAAGCAAAGTCATTCAAGATAATCCACAATTTGTACAAATCACTGCCTCTTTTGGGGGCACCACAGGCTTTATCTGTCCTATCCTACACCATCACTGTCTAACTTAACCACAAAAAGCAGAAACTGCAGCCAGCACATACACATAGAAATGAACTCAGGTTACATAAGAGTGTTCAGCACATAGTTGCTGTTTGAATAATGAATAGTACACCTTTTGTAAATTTTTCAGTTCCAAATTGATCTTGTCCATTTTGATTTTCCTATAGAGAAAAATAGAAGATATGGTACAATCTGTTTTATGTGAGTTTCTAGTTCTTGTAGTATTTATTAATTTAAAGAGGAGAGAATTTTCATGTGTAGACCTGTAATCAACAATTCAAAAAAAAAACAGTAAAAGGAGAAGGGAAGAAGTAAGGATGAAAACAAAACAAAACAGGAATGCCACAGGAAGTGTCATTTTGTGTGTGTGTGATCTATAGAGAAAGAAAACTTGTGAATGTCCTTGATTTCTTGGTCAGTTGTGTTAACACTGGATTTCTTTTTCACTTGCTTTACAGAGTGTGGGGCTGACTAGCACTGGGCTCATATAAAGAGAATTGTGGGAAAATTTCATACCCTATGACAAGTTTTCCTACAGCAGGTGAGCACCAGTCCTGGATAAACAACTAACCTATTATCCCACAGGTAAACTCATCATGACTCTCCCATCACCTTTTAGTCAATGACCTTCATCAGCAAAACTCCCAAAAGAGATGGAGGGAGGGAGAAAAGGGAGAGTTGGAAGCTGAAACCATCACTATGTTCCAACATGGTCCCAGACCATAGAGGAGGTAAGGAAAGAACTGTGGGGTAGAGCTCTTAAGACTTTGAACAAGTGATTCTTAAGGGGCCTCAGAAGTGGCAGGTCACTGCCTCTCCTCTCTGACAGAAGCTTACCAGGAAAACCACAGAACTTCCATTCCCACGGAGAAACCTACCACTGGCTTAAGATCTTGATTAAATTCAAACGCTTCTTCATTTGAAAACTGGTCCGGGGTCCCTCCTTGGGACCTCCAGACCAGTTGATGGCCCCGTGGGTCCTCTCCTTTCTAGAAAGCTCATACAGCAACCAGACCCCTAGCTGTCTTTTCGGGCAATGGTTGTCTGTCTTCTTGAAGACTCAGAAATTAAACGTGCAGTCCACAAGTCCATTAATTTTAGCTTCCCATTAATCTATTTATAACCGAGCCAGCAGAGCTCTATAAATACGGTCCTATAAAATTGAAGTCTTTCCTATAAATCTTCTAAGTTGTTTATTTACATGTATTTCCTGGTCCTTTAATGATGCCCCTGTAAACTCAGGGAAGACTCTAGCCAACCCCACCCAGGATGGCAGTGTGTACTGTGTTCCCCCCATGCATTCATCGCAGGATGGGAGGAGGGAAGAACAGGGAGGGTGAAATTCATTTTTCCTCCGCGACGTTGTTTCGTTGTTTCCTTGTTTCTATCCCAAACTCGTTCTCTCCGTATTCCCCATCACAAGCCTCAAGGTGATTTATATCGTCATAAACAGCATTCTTGCGACTGTATTTCCTCTCATAGCTTGGGGTGTGCTCTTTTTTTTTTCTTTTCTTTTTTTTTCCCCCATGTCCCTGGCAGCCACTACTTTAAAACCAGGCCTCATAAATAACCTGAAGGGCTCAGTCAAGATGAGATCCGTCAAATGTCTCTCGGAGTCTACTTTTCTAGTTTGGGTCTCTCTCTGCCTCTCCCCAAGGTCACAGGTTGGTGCAGGACCATTGGTTTTTACTCCCCGGGTTTCCTGCATGCTACTGAGAACTGCAATTTACAGACTGGGTACCGAAGAAGTGATGCGTCTCGGGAAGCGGCTGCAGGCGCGTGCACCGCGTGTGCGCGCCCCAGCCCGCGTGGAGCCAGCGCACTGGGTGCCCGCAGCCGGCATCCGAGAACGCTCCGAGATGTTGGTCAGGGTGTCAGGAACGCGCACGCGCGGACGCACACGCACGCGCACTCGCATGGACTCTGCAGCGCTCCAGGGCGGATCCCCAGCAGCCACAGCCAGGCTGGCTCGGTGCCTCTTGCCAGGGCTTCTCCTGTGTGCCCTGGGGATCAATAGGCGCTGGCGTTGTGGAACTGCTGCAGCGCGGGCCAGCACCTCTACTTGCTTTTTTTCCCCCTGCAAAGCTTCTTATGCACAGATTGGGGGAGCAGTTTTGTCACAGAACTTTAAAGCGTTTGACGCTGGACCCAGGCGATCACCTACTTGTTCCGAGACTATTGGCTCCTGGCTTATTCTCTCCGAAGGGCTACAGCCACAGTCTGGAGCCACTCTAGCGAGAGAGGCGTGGGGAGGTCGTGGGAGGGAACAGTCACACCTGCTGCCCAGAAAGGCCTCTGCATAAAAATGCTCTTTAAATTTTTAGAAAAGCCACATAATGGCTGATGGCCTTACCAAAGCGTGACCTACCCAGGCCCAGCAGTTAACGTCCCAGGCGTGCCTGCTCTCAGATGTATTAGCAAACACTTCAAGGATGTGGTTGTCAGCTGTCATTAGCCAAATCGTGCTCGCTAACCATTTGATTAAGGAGGAGGAAATAACCATGATGTACAATTGCAGAGCGGTGGTTGTGGTGGTGGGATGTCAGAATTTTTCCACTTGAGCAGACAAATGTCCCAAGTGATCTGGGCGACAACAAGCTGGCATGTGAGCAGTGGGGTACAGAGATGTGGGCACAGGATGTTCTTTGGGCCTAAAGAGAAAAATCGTACGACTTCCCCCAACTGGTCTACTACAGAGATTGGCTTGTGTGACCAAACCCTGCCAGCTTGGAGGTTCAGAACCCTGGAATCCGAGGCATTCCAACCTTCAGTTACCTCCTCAGTGCATTTTGAAAGGGTTGATGGCTCTTCAGGTGGGCATAAAGCAACCTGTAATCGAGTTCCTAAGGAAATGGAATATACAGCATTATTATACTTAAATGGAATTTAAAAATCTGCAAAATTGCTTCCCCTATCCCTTTTTTTTTTTTTTTTTTTTTGCAGGTAGAATTGTAATGTGTCTGGGAGCTGGGCTGGGAGTAGTGGAAGCCAAGCCATTGCAAAAACAAAACAAAACAAAAAACAAAACAAAACCCCAGACAAAAACCAACCAACCAAACAAACAAAAACCAAGCAATCATAAAACCAACCAAACTTCAGCTCTCCTTGAGCTGCTCCGCATCACACAAATACAGCAGAAACATGTTTGCCACTTAGTGACCAGCTTTGACTGGAGTGGATTGGGTGTAAATGTTATCCCTGATAAACGGTTGTGCCAGGTGACCAGATAAGAGACATGCCTTGGAGATCAGGCTGCTTTCGACTGCAGCTGCATGCTACATGTGAGTTCAGTCTTGAAACTGCAGATCCAGAGTAAACACAGAACAGACACAACAGAGCATTGTTTACCCAAGTCAACATTCTCTGTCCTGATAGCGCCATGTATTAAAGCTCTTGCTTTGGTTTTCTCCTTTAAAAGTTTTTCCTTCCTTCCTTCCTTCCTTCCTTCCTTCCTTCCTTCCTTCCTTCCTACCTTCCTTCCTTCCTCCCTTCCTTTTTTTTTTTTTGTTCTTTTTGAGCTTTTGAAAGTTTCTCTGTGTATCCCTGGCTGTCCTGGAACTCAGAGGGATCCCCCTGCCTCTGCCTACTTCATGTTTACATTTCTGGGTAGAATTCCTGTGGCTATGGGTTCCTAATGAGAGGGAACTTTGAGGGTCTGAAACAGAGACAAAGCTGTCTTTGCTGGTACTTTGTTTCATATACTTTCACTGTTTGTAGGGATGCAGGACAAGGAGCCACAAGCATGAGTCCATCTAACAAAATGGGCCCACTGGGTGAGTCATTTGCTTTTATGGTCTACCTAAATTTTTTTTCAGTGACAGTCAATGGGGCTACATGAGCCAAAGAAGGATCAAACTGATCAGGGTTCTTGTGACCTTTTACCCTTCCTCTAATTCTCAATACTGAACATCTGTGTTTTGTGGCCAATGTCTGAAAGTAATAAAGACAATTAGAGCATTTTATTTACTCTTGGAAGGGGGTTGGGTAGCTGGTGTGAAGGGTAAATCTCTGTGTGCATGGCACCACTTTGCAGGCAGAATCTAGAGGAGTATCATCCATTGAGCCTTCTTCACCTTCCCAGCCCCAGGAATGGAATGAAAGGGATTACATGCTAAAACTACAATCTGGACACCTTGTTCCTTTCCTTCTTTTTAATTAGTTGG